TTGTAGATACTTTAACGCATACATTTATTTTGATAACGCCTACTCTGTTATTATTTGGATGTATAAGACTTGTAGTTTGTTTTATATATGACTTTAACCCCGTATAATTAAATTACATGTTAACTAAAGATTTTTAATATATCTTTAAAACTATACATTTTTTTAAACATGAATGAACATGCTGTTTTTGTCTGAATTCTAAAATATACAAAAATCAATAGTGATAGATTTATTTTGAAATTTTTTCTTTAATAATTGTATGATGCTCATAGTTCCAAAAAATAAAATTATCTAAATTAAAGTCTATTATTTATCATTTATAATTTCTTTGAAACTTTAAAATCTATAAAGTCTAAAATATGATTAAATTGATAGTTTATTTAAAATTTATTTAGCATTAGTTAAACAAACTGTACATAATTGAAGTGCATAAGAAATTATTTAACTTCATGCCTTATATTTTGAAGAGAAAAATACTTTGCCTTTCTTTTCCAGTTTTGACGCTTCACTACTTTTTTTATTCAAGTTTAAAATTTATTCTTTTCTTTCTTTCTTTCTTTCTCTTTCTTTCTTAAAAAAGAAGTATGAATGTGATAAAGGCAATCATTAACATAAAATAGCCACATTGAGCAAAAAAGAAAGGAAAAGTGTACGTACTATATATACTAACCGTAGTGAATGTACTTGACACTGGGTACCCGAACACTTGCATTTTTCTTAGGTACCTATGTGGATACCCTGCTACATGAATGTCATAGATGTTTAAATATTTTCATCAAACATAACTCTGTTGAAGAGATAGAAAAATATAAAGTTATTTTTATTGTGATGCTCATACGATTGGCGTCTCACTCTCTCATAATATCTCTTCTGGTTGCAAAAATTACATGTGTTGTTTATTTTACTATACTATGACCATTGTGTTTGAGTAATTTTTAAAAGTAAAGGAAACACTATTGATTTTCTTCTTGTTTTTAGATTATACATCTCTAAATTGTAGTAAGAAATACAAAACTGCTACAAACATGATTAATACAAATCACAGTGCTATTATTTTGATTTATTATTGATATTTCGACGATGTTTACTCGTCATCATTCGAATAAACGAATGACGCCAGATTTGATTCAATAAGAGTACAAAAAAGAAAAAGAACAGAAAATTAGACAATTAAGTAGACGTCTTTTATCCATATGATCAATCATATGTTCTACTGAACATTCTTTTCGATCGATAGACTTGTGCTCATAGAGCACAATTTCATTCAAACATTTTTAGTTTATATTTTATTTCATTAATGGATTTGCCATAGCTTAGATGAGTAAACAAACTTTCTTTGATAGAGTTCTTCTTATCCAGTCTGTTTCTAGAGTTAATGTTTCGGATTATCAAAGTCAAATTCATGGTTCTCATTAATCGAATGTTGAGCTAAGACTGAGGTAGGTTTCCTTTTTATTATATCCTTTTTGTGTTCTTTCATACAAGTCGTTTTTTCTCGATTTGTTTCTCCTGAGCCACCATTTCACTGTACTCTTATTGAATCAAATCTGGCGTCATTCGTTTATTCGAATGATGACGAGTAAACATCGTCGAAATATCAATAATAAATCAAAATAATAGCACTGTGATTTGTATTAATCATGTTTGTAGCAGTTTTGTATTTCTTACTACGTTTTTTCAATATTACTGATGTACCAAAATATTTGATCTCTAAATTGTACTTAGAAAAAAAATTGCGATCATTTTCATAAATATGTAAATATGTTTTGAACAAATTTGATTACAGAGATTGAGCGTATCCAGAATAGATCTTCATAGTAATAGGAAGAAACTGATAAACATGAGATACTAGAGATTGTCAGTAATATGAAAACTGGGTATTTATTAAATTTCAATCGTATCTACTAAACTATATAATGCTTCTCACGCCATTTCAATCTATAATCGAGAAATTTAAGAGCTTGTTTGCGGTGACACTTATTCAAGTACTGGGTACTTCCGCACAGGTCCGCCCACTTTATACATGAGCTAAAAGTCGGGAAGGTTTGACTATATGCAATCGATAGTCCTACTAACGGTATGTAAATACCCCTGTCGCCCCATGGAAAAATTATTCCGAACACGGTTTTACTTCGGCCATAAGTTCTGAATTGAAGTATTTTTAGGGGTGCCAGAACAGCGAAATCTGACCTTATCTAATACTATCAAGCGTTCTCATACCGCTAGCTGAAAAGAGCATACAGAGTTGCATATTTCTATCCGCAAATGAGATTTTCTCCACTGACATTCGGAAAGAATTTTTGACTGGAAGATCTTATCTGCATTAGCAGATATCACTCGTTTTATATCGTGTTGGACGCGCTCAAACTCTAACAAAACATAACTTTATTTATATTCAAATGAAAGCGGCTTCCAAGTTTGTTCGTATGACGCAACAATGAAGTCTCTAGTATCTTTTACTTCTTCATAGTAAGCGTAGCCGTGAGGCCTACTTTGACCCTTCCTGACCTCCTCCCTCGAAAACTACACATCAGTTCTTCGAGATCTTGTTAGCCCACACACTACTCGAGTAGTGCTACAAAAGGCATAAGGCATTTACTTTGGCCAAGTGGTTTTTCTTGTGGCGGTTTTCTAGAAATCCCGTAAAAATCCTCAGTTGCTCATAAATATTGATTCCAAACTAACCTGACATTCGGATTCAGCATGTCATTTTGTGGCTAATTTAGTATTTTTTCCCGTTCCTGACCCTATCCAGATAATAGGATTTTGACGGAATTTCTAGAAAACCACCACAAGGAAAACCACTTAGCCAAAGTCAATGCCTTACGCCTTTTGTAGCACTAGTCGAGTAGTGTGTGGGCTAACAAGATCAATATAATACACTACATGAGCGATTGTTTCACTTGACTATGCGACTGTCATATGAATGGTAAACGGTTAAGGGTACCCTCCCCTCATTTTGGACTTTCTGTAGAAATGCTGTGACGTAAAAACTAAAACTCACTAAGGCTTCATATTTTCAGAACTGATTGGAAACTCAATGAAGCTCTTTTTCGTTTTTGCTTCAACTTTTTAGCTATTGCCGTACACCAGTTTTCCAGAAAACTCCGTTTTTCATTGGATCATATTACGACCCCCCTGAAATTTCATTCGATCGAGTTAAAAATTTTACCAGAGGTACTCAAAGTCATAGCGTAGAGGTATGATTTTGGAATTTTCTTTTAGACTTTTTTTTACCGAGTTATAGGAAAAACACCGAAAAACTTCCAAAAACCAAGTTTTTCAATTTTAGAAATCCTATAACTCGGTAACGAAAGATCTAAAAGAAAATTCCAAAATCATACCTCTATGACTTTGAGTACCATAAAATTTTTAACTCGATCGAATGAAATTTCAGGAGGCCGTAATGTGGTTCAGTGAAGCCCCGTAGCAAAAAAATAGTTTTCGAGACAAAAAGTATTTTATACACAGGTCACTTTTTTCAGGGCATTTGCCTCAATTCTTGTATCTCCACGAAAACTCATCAAAAAATTGTGGAAAACGTCTCATTGTGAAGAAAACACTTTCTTCTATCAGACTATGCGTAAGAAAAATTTCGAATGTACAGAAAAGGGGAGAAAAGTTTATGAACTTAAAAAATTGAGTTTTTTTAGGCTTTGAAGGAAAAACTTCAAACATGCATAACTTTTTCAAGAAAGGCCGTGGAATGCTGAGAATTTTGTAGCCCACATTTTCCTCTATATTAGGCTATGCTCAGCTCAAAATCCGAAATTTTTTCAAAAAAGAGAAGTAGTACCCATAAAAGAGCTTCTGAAGTCAATTACGCACGCTTCTTATAAGTCATGATAAGTCGAAAATTACATTTGGAAAAGAACACAAAACAATAAATTAAATACTTAGAAATTAGAAGTATTTCTAATTATCTTATCAGCCCTGACTAATGAAGAGAATACTGAAGATGAGTTTTCCGAAATATCTCATTTAACATAGAATTTGACGGCGAACAAATTCATAATTAATAGAGAAATAGACGTTTGTCTGTCTGGATTAATCAACACTACTAAAAGAATGCTTGTCTTATAAACATCTTTTGAGAGAAAAAATGCATGATTCATGCAAATATGAACTCTATTTTAAAACATCTATCATATTTATCAAGTACAATCAAAACTGAATCGATTAAAATAGTGCTCGACAGTTAAAAACAATAGTGTACACTAGGCAGCTTTTATCCGCCACTATATACCATTTTTGTCTAAATTAGCACCTGAACTTCAGCAGAATTTATTTGGATACAATCTGTTATAAGGTAAACAGTTTCTCCACTTACAAAAGAATGGATGATAAATGGATTCATTTGAATAAAAATGGCACCATTTTTCATTACATTGTCCAACTGGATGCCGAAACTGTTACGCGATTTCTTGGCAGATCTCCTGAGACTTTAAAAGTATCATGCAAATATAATCTCCATGGTAAAATATCTTTTCTTCCTACTACTGTTAAGAGGAAGAAATGAAATCGTCTCAATTTTTACTCTTGAATTCGATATCGATTTACTAAATTATCTTTTTTTATTTGATAAATAAATTCTTACCCATAAAAAAATAAAAAAAATAGACCGACATACACCCAATGCACTAGTTTTCTCTGTGCCTCACTATTCATATTGCTAATTTTTGAAATATATTTATAAAACTTCGGTTTTTCACACTCGCTAAACGTTCTATTGTCTTTTTTTATGTTTTTTTCCCACAACTATATTCTTATGTAATTGATTATTGTTGTTGTTTATTGATCGTGCGAGACATCTGATGCTTGTTTTGTACAAATGATGATGGTATTGATGTTTGTCTCTTATGATTTTGTTTTTTCGTTCGCTCATACTGTTATCTCACATTCTCCTCGAATGATGATAGGAAATATTGCGTTGTCTATATATTAGAAACCGATGATATATCATCGGATGTTTGTTTAGTGTATGGGACTATTACGCCATGTTATGATGCGCGGGGATGTTGTTGTTTATGTCGGGAAAATATTGGCTGAAAAAGATTTTTGGCAGTTGTACGAGAAAAGTAACTATCAGATGTCACGGAACGATCTTTAAATGAATACGTTGAATTATTTCTACTCAGTAAAATTTGTCGTTTCATCGTTTGTTGTCTTTGTTTATTTTCAATTTCTTGTCGTTTTATGATATGATTTATAAATCGTGTAGCTGGTGTACGGAATGAATGTCACTTAGATAATTATTTCCTCTGATTGAAAATGACTGAGATCGATAATCTCCAACAGATGTATGATATGATATTGTATTGTTATTTGTATTATCCGATAGAATATAATAATAATTTTTTTTCGATGGTGATTGATTTATATTATTAATAGTTGCTAATGAACAATTAACGATACGTGATTTTTTATTTTTGCATTTTTCATGTTAATAATTGTTGTGTTCTTGTCGTTCTTCAACTTTGTGCAATGCCTCAAATATATTATCTAACGTGTTCTCTTTATTTTATGTAACAGCGTTAGTCTCACTTTCCGAATATTCATTGAGTAATTTTTGATGCTTTGGTATTTCATCGCAGGATTCTCTGTAATTTTCGACAATCGATTTAAATGTCGTCTTATTCAACGGTACATGAAAGTGAAAATGTTCGTTTTGACGCCCTTTTATCTCTAGTATTAAGACTTTCAGATTTTTGTTGTTTAATAAGTGGGGATATTGTTGTACAGGGAAATGTGAGTCGTCCATCAATTATTTTATTATCACATGAATTCTGACTATGGAAATATGTCTTTGTATTGATGGAGAACGAGTTAAAAATAGAGATTAGTTTGTTCAGGATGATACCTGTAAGTAAATGATTTCGATTTTTGTTGATTTGAATAGCTTAAACTTTCAAGAGAACTAGATTCTGAAAAACTTTTGCTTACTACTACACTCATGTTAACATCATCTGAAGTTATTTCATTGAAACTAGCCAGTACATGATGATTGCTAGTAGTGTCAATATTATTACGTACTTTTTCATGATCAGAAAGTTGTTGATCAGCACGACGTAAATAATGATATTTTCCAGTTGTTTCAACGCTATCTTTGATAGTTTTTATTGTTGTTGCGGCTAGAGTTGAAATTACTAAACATAAAAGGACATAGATGAAGTAGTAGTTCTAATTTTCGTACCTTCTACATCAACAATTAAAGATTAGCTGAACGATATTTAGGCTGATACGTAACGTTAAGCGTGAAACATAACATATTTAAGTTCAGATTAGTTAACAAACGCTCTTCAATAGCAATTACACTGTAAACGTTAACAATAATGCACACATAACTGGGTACACACACACTATAATTCTGTTTTGATGTCTCACTGTCTCTTGAATTAATACTTTTCTCATTATTTAACTCATTAATTAGTGTTCAATGGAATATTTAAACTTTCAGAGTGACTATCGTTTACACACGATGTTATTAACTCAATATTTTTCTCGTTTTGATGATTAATATGGCTATCTATACTTTGAATTTTGTTATCTTCAGTAACACAACCTATGCTTCGATTATTTTTGATTTTATCACCGTATGTATATAAGTGATGCTTGTAATTGGCCGTTGGTAACGGTAGTAGTTTCTGAAATTATAATACGCACACTACCTGCTTTTCCAATGATGTAATTGATTGTGGTGAAGATTTGATTTGGAGTATTCGTATACATATTTGTTGTAGTGATTGTTGTCGATGCTGTTGAACTCAAAATGGTCAATATTGACGGCTGTTTGCCATTGTTACGAATTATAAAATTATTATTTTCCTGCATTACAATTCGTTTTACGATTTTCTTAGTACTATCTTCTGGCACCTTCGTTCGAGTCGTTATCTTCGTTGTATGTTTAGATGTTGATGGTGAATTAGTGTCTGTCACTGTAGTTTCCGAATTAAAATTCACGAGAATGATGACGCCGCCGAACAACGTTTTACCAACAAGGGTGCGATTTAAAAATGAGTTTAATCTCGTCTCATTTTGATAACGTGTAAATCCCAATGTAAAATAGGCAACTATACTACCATTTGTAAAATCATTAACCACGCAGCTAGCGTAAAACACAGCATATTTAGTTTTGCTATCTGTTAACGTTGTATCAACCTAAAACAGAAATTAGAGAAACAAAGATGACGGTGATTAAAAACTGTTCAGTGAAGGGTGTCCGAAATAAAAACCTTTTACATTGGGCTTATCAACAGGCATGCAGCAAATGTAGTTTTTCCAGTTGTACTGGATTTATTTGTCTGAATGTACCATAGCATATTATATAGCATTCAGAATATGCTTAGCGCGAATCGTTTTTTTCTTTACGTTGTGCGACACGTACCATAGATGTAACCGGTCAAGATTTTCTCGACCGGGACGGTAATCAGTCTAAAAAATTCTGACTGGGTCGGGCTAGCCGGTCGGTCATATATTTTCGTTTGGCCAGTCGAAACCGTTTTTGACACCACCTCGAAGTCTGTATCATTAGAATTGCAGAGGACATCTGAGACGCATAAACACCTACTTTTTAATTTATAAACTCAATATTTCGAGCTCAAATTTTTACTGTCAACTGTTTTAGGTCAGTTACACATTCAGTGAACATTAATTACTGTGCTCTCTTTTCAACCAGTTTTTTTTTGCTTTTTAAATTCTTCAGTTCCTTTTGTTTTTTCTATGTTACTTTGAATGTTTTTCCTATCTTTGTCTGTGAGTTGGCGCGAGTGTGTGAATATAGAGGAATGCTAAGGCTTCAGAAAAAACGTCTATAGTTCTCGAATCATGAATTTTCAAGATGTGGTTTAGATCCAGTTTTGTCAAGGACACTTCAGGTTATATATCTATGAAAAAAAATCCATAAATTCCTATGTCTGTTTTCAGAGAATCGAACTAGTTTTCCACGGATCTCCTGAACAACGGATCTTGGAAATTTTTTGCTAAATTTATCTTTGCTTATGGAAACATGGTTTTAGGTTTTGGCTAGCGAATGATGAAAATCACAAGTTTCTATCTTTTATTCCTTTTGACTTATTCAAAAATAATCACCTGCCGTCTATTTTGGCACCGATAGTAGTGCAACAAACATCAAAAAAGAAAGAAAAACGAACAGAATATTCACATAGTAGAGATTACTAGTTCTGCTCTCGAAGACTGTTGACAAAAAAGAGAAAATCAAACTAACTTTCTTAATTTGAAATATGAAAACGTTTGTTTTACTCAGGTCAGCAAATTCGTTTTCGACAAAGTAATGATTTTTTAGACGAAAAAAACTTTTTTTTTTTGATCTCTCAGTCAAATTTATTTGCCTTCAACCGGCAAGCCGACTGATCGGCCAAAACTTTCTGGCCGGACCGGCCGTTGCCAGTACCGGTTACATCTCTTGTAGAGACAACGTTTATTTGCACTCATTGAGTTAATCTAATTGTTTCCTGATTTTAATCATGCGTAGTGAACAATGAAAATGGGAAGAGATTTTGAATTCAGAGCGCAAGACTGCTTACGCAAAAATTGATTGTGGATATAGAATAAAACTTTTCATTAGAAAAACGACTGGAAGTAGAAGAAAAACATTCAAAATACAAAAGTAAAGGATGCTTCTTTTTTTCGGCAAGTCTGACTAGCGCGGAAAGCTCTTACAGATCTTGGAGATGCTTCATTTTGAAGAGCAAACATTTTTTCTTAACCCTTTACGGCCGTGTGTTGACTACCAGTAACATCAATCTATTAAGTGTCGAAGGAATTTCGTTCTAAAAGAATACACTTTGCCGATCCCTGTCACAGCAAAACAATAAATATAAAGGGAGGAATATTTTTATTAGTTAATTTTTGGCAGCCGACAGAAAAGGAATATGCACAGACATATCACCGGAAAAAAAATAAAGTTGGTTTAGAGTTGCTGAAAAGTGGTTTTCGTATTCAGCACACTCGATAACCCAGAAGATTTTCTGTTTTTGGCCCGAGGTACTTCCGAAAGTTTAGGAAAAGTTTTCAAATTAATATTATTTTTCTATGGAAAACTTTTTGCGCCATTTCGTTTCAAAATTTTTCTTAAACTTTCGGAAGTACCCGAGCCAAAAATAGAAAATCTTCTGGGTTATCGAGTGTGCTGAATACGAAAAATCACTTTTCAGCAACTCTAAACCAACTTTATTTTTTTTGTTCCGGTGATATGAGGGGATATTGTTACTAAATGGCTTATGCAGCCGGCCGTAAAGGGTTAAATTAATGATCAAACAAACGTGAAGAACTGAATAGGTTTCAAGATAAAGTTTTTGAAGCAGATGTCACATTTTGTAAATAAAGCATCAGTCTGTATATGACCGCGGTACTAACTATTAGCGTTCGGTTAATTACCACTTTGAAGAAAAATGTTTGCTCTTCAAAATGAGACGTCTCCGAGCTCTGTGAGAGCTTTCCTCGCAGAACTATAATCTTGACAAAACGTAACTGACTTACGGAAAAGTGGACTTTTACGTGGACAGGTCATAGTTTTCTTTGTAAAGCTTCATGCTTATTACAAGTGAATATTAACAGACATAACTTATTCTTCACTCTTTATCTAATAAGAAATATCGCAACAATAATTATAGACGATGCGCGAAAACGGATAAAGAAACATAGGAGTAGTGTAATTATTTAGTATTTAAAGATCCTGTCATGCTATTAGATCATTTCCTCAAAATAACAGAACGGATATGATAAATATCAAATATTTAAAGGAATCTAAATAACTAAGAAATTAAGAGACGAAACACCTTTTGAAACCGCTTGGTCCCAAAAGAGATAATAACATCAAAAGCGGTTGTGGCGGCGGCGGCGTTTTCTTTTTTACACAGAATACCTGTTATATTTTTCACATGGTAGAATTTCTATACACCGTTTTCTATCACCGGAATATCTGTCAGATATTCTGATATATTAGCACTGATATCTCAGCTAGCTATTATTTGTCTTTGCATAGTAATTGATCTTACCAATTGACAAAGCTCGCGTTGATAATTTTGATATAACACTGACGACGGTATGTCTAATTCTTTATAAAATAATGCACGTACGACAAAATTTCCATCGTATAAATCAGTGATTGTTTCAGTGGATGTTTTAGCTAAGTAAAAATGTTTGTGGTAATTTCCATTCGTGAACGAAAGAAAACTCTTTACTTACTTAAAGTAACGGCCACAGCAACGGTGACAATAACAGCAAGTATAACCATGGCTAATGATGATCCGATGATAATGCGTTTACGTAATCGACGGGCAACTGGACAAGGATCAGGTCGTCCAGGAGTACGATATGGTAAGTAACTTTGTTCAAGATTTGAAGTTTGTTCGGATGTCTCACGCATTTGTCTTGACAGAGGAGGACTATTTGTAGATGGATGAGCAACCTTTTTCCAAGCCTCTAAAAATGAATTCAAGATAAATACAGTAACATGTGGTTGTTGAATACTTTTTAGTTATTTAAACGGCCATTCTTTATCCCATATACCATTCAAGATAGAGCGAACTGCTATCAAAATTCAATTTCCGCATATCCAAAGTTTGAAGCATTCTCCAGAAAATTCCTACTCTTTCTATGTGAAAGTGAAACGAAGTATATCAACGTCTGTTGAATAGCTAAGTGACGGAGATAGCAGAGAATCAAAAGTCTAAAAAAATGTGTATTATGACTTATTTACCAGTATCCCGAAGATGAGGTATATCATTGAGTTGTATATCAACAAAAGCAGATTCTGGCGTAAGGGTGTTAAGTTTTTTATAGAATTGTTGTCGTACAGCATTTGGATTTTTCTAAATAACAAAGTAACGAATAGATTGATTATTTTTTTATTAAAAAGAAATCTACTTTTACAGGTTAAAGAAAGGTAAACATACTTACACGATGTATAAAAGGATTGTGATTATCTTCAGAGATTTTCGATGATAATGGAGGCCTACGTGGAGATCTTGCTGAAGTTTCGTTTAAAGATGATCTTACATTTTCTCTTGTTGGTGTACTCAAGTTTCGATGTATGGAAAAGATGTTGAGTGTGCGATCAAAACTGATTGCACCATTTTCACTATTACTGGAAAAAAAAGAATAAATAAAAGTTACGTCAAATCGAGCAAGCTTTTTTAGGAATCTTTTCTTTTCTTCAGAATGGAATGATAATTAGTTTAGCTGTATAAATGACTTATCATATAGAATAAGAACTGACTCACTCAAACACGGGCAAGAAAACCCGATAAAAACTTACTTTCGATCCTTTTTCGCACGTTTTAAGGGCATTAGTATTAATTTGTTAAAAAACAAATTACTCTTAATCACAAATCATCCTTTCTGTGCTTTCATTTTAGAGAAATAAAGAATACTAAGAAATTCACGTGGTCATTTAATAATTACTCACGCATGAATACATTCTATTTCTGGTTTGCTATACCTACAAAATATAATTTTTTTTTGTAAAAACAAACAGTAAAAAGCACGTAATGTTCTATGCTAAAGGTAACAGGCGCGTTTAACAATATGTATGACCTTTCTTTTTACCGTGATATAGAATATTATCGAACAAAATAAATGTTAAAAGTTCATATTTACCGATTGGTGGTACTAGCATTTGTTGAAGATGAATTTGAATTTGAACTTGAACTTGAATTTCTTGACATATTTGAAAATGATAATTGATTATTACCCCTGGATACAACTCTTCTAACCATTGTCCTCATTAATGCGACTAATTATGATCTAGAAAATATTTAAGAGCAAATTGAAAAAAGATCAAACCAATTATCGATGTTTCAAACGAAATATGACACAGTTGTTATCAGTCTTTTTCTCTACCACATATATCCAAGTCAAAATGCTCAGTCAAAATATCTAGATGCTTTAGTTGTCGTATCAGGGGATACTTTTTAGAAATGTATCAGCTTTTGTATCAGCGATTTGACGAGTAGGAAGCATTGAGCGATGTTCAATGTTTTTCGCGCTTAGGCACAACTGTAACACGTGTTGAAATT